AAGGTACCCCCTAATTTTCGGAAAGTCCCACGTGTCTCCAGGATGGGAGCAGGCGGCGCAAAAGGTGGGTTTAGGGTTGCCGGTTCATGTAGGGGCCTTAAGAATTAGAGTAGGGTCTTGGGGGGCTCCTTACTACAACTATAGTATCATATACCCCAGACCCTATTCAAGCCTTAATAATTAGAATAGGGTCTTGGGGGTTCCTTACTATAACTATAGTATACTATACCCAAACCCTGTTCAAATTATTAAGGCCCCTATATATTAGGCGTTTCTGCCTCCGGGTCTTGGGGATGCCGCGTTCCCCGTAGACTTTCAGGTCTGGGTGTGTTTGCTTTCTTCTTGCAGGGGGCCCTAATGGGAAACCTTACAGTAACCAAGGAACCCGTCGTTTAGGGTTTAGAGGTTTAGGGTTTGGGGTTTCGTTCTCTTACCCCAAGGGTCCATGTACCCAAATGGGTGGTTCTCTAGATTAGGTTCCCGTTTAGGGTCCTTTTTTATAAGGGTGCCATACTTCACTGAGGACCTAAAAAGGGACCCTAATTTCGAGAACTGCCCAATTAGTAGACACTTTGGTCCCAAACTACCCAAATAGGGACTACTTGAAGGCCAAAAGTATCTACTAGTTGGGTACATGGAGCCTTAGGGGTTATGCCTCCCATTTTGGGGCTCTCGTCTCCGTAGAACCTAGTTTACCCTGAACGCTAGGCAGCCCAGTCCCTCCAAGACCACCGTTCCAACACTGAGGATGCCATCTTGGCCAAAGGCCCCAAAAGACGTTCGAAGTCAGCCTGCCTCCCATGCCCTAAACCCTAGCCCTAAACCCTAAACCCTAATCCCTAAACCCTAAACCCTAAACCCTAAAGCCCTTAACCCTAAAACTCCGCCCCTCTGAAGCCTCATACCCCTCAACCCTGAACCCCCGAACACTCATCCCTAAAGGACTAAACCTTGATCCCTAAAGGCCTGCAGCCTAACTCCTAAAGGCCCAGACCCCTGAAATCATACCATTCCTTCAACGCTCAAGACTCTATAACAGCACGGTGCATCCCAAGACTATTGATCATAGATACTCTGTATCAGTGTGTATATGAACATTCACTTATATTATATGTTTATTTAATTATTTTGTCATTTATTGTTTATTTTTCTATTATATCTTTATTCACACATATTCATTCACATATACCAGGAATGTGCTTGTAATTGATTTATTCACATATATCCCAAGAATGTGCATGTTATGTGTGCCTGAAAGCCCTGAACCTAGGCGTCGGCTTCATGTAGCCATCGGCTCGAAAGGGTTTCCAAGCTCGGCTTGGCTTAGGGCGTGAGGGGTTTCGACTTATGAAAGATAGAAGCCTGTATATAATTCAGGGTTCAGGGCTTAGGGTTCAGGGTGAAAAAAGTAGAAGCCTGCATAAACGATTGATCAACATCATTGGTTGATAGTCTTCTCCATGTGGGGCACTAGCGCATTTGGGGTTTGGGCGGTGTGTGTGTGTGTGTTTGGGTTTATGGTTTCAGAGGTCGAGGCTTTGAGGAAATGAGATATTGAGTACACTTGAAACCCTGAAACCCTTAGAAATCCAGCCGACCGTGTTTCCCAAGTTGTTGTAGTGAACTGATTCGGAGAGGGGGCACCGACACCCGTGGGTAGATTATACAGTGCTGGAGATGGTGGGACCTAAACCCCAAACCCTCAGGGTATAAATTGGTTCACTGAGTTCGCGGATCTTCTTAACCCAGACCACCGGGAGGATCTAAAATTTAGATCCCCTAGTTTGGGACCCCAACTACTAAAGGGTACTTTATAGGAACCCCTTAGGGGATCAAATTTTTAGATCCTCCCGGTGGTCTGGGAACAGTGCTTTTGCCTCATGGCGTTTGCGGCAGGCGCTGCCGCAAGATGTGTCCTAGACTCGGGCGATCTTCCCCACATGCAGCGGTCGTCATGTAGGGGCCTGAATCATTACCAATACTCTTCCCTCGGGCCGTAGGGGTCCTTGCTATCTATCTATATATTATATTATCTATTATAAATATATTATATATTTTATATTATATATTATATATTATATATTATATATTATATAATATATATTACATATTATATATTATATACTATATACTATATTATATATATATAATATATATATATATATATATCCAAATAAATATACTACAATATATGGGTGTGTATATCTATATATTAGTGCACATTCTATTTGTAATGTGATATAACTTCCCCCAAACCCTTTTCCATCTACTAAGGCGTTTATAGTAAACCCCAAAAAGCTGGAAACCGGATTAAGGAGAATTGGTGCTGGGATTCCCTACACATGTCTCTTAATCCAAGGGTTTAGGGTCCCTATATTCGGTGGCTTCACGGTCCCATGCTCGGCCATCACACCCCAGGTCGGGGCTCTAACCCAAGGACCAGACCCGGATCACTTTTTAGGGGTTAGGGGTTTAGGGTTTAGGGTTTAGGGTGTAGGGGTTACAGTTTAGGGTTCAGGGTTTAGGGTTTAGGGTTTTGGGTTTTGGGGTTTAGGAGGCTCAGGAGCCCGCTGGTCTCAAAACCCTAAGCTGCAAATCTGAACGCCTACTGTCTAGGGTTTAGGGGAGTATTCAGCCCCGACCCCAACGAACACCTAGTAGCATAGGGGTCGGAACAGCTCAGCACAACTACCAACAGCAACAATAATCCCTGAGGTTCCTGAAGAATAACTACAAAAAAGATGCCCCCCAAACCCTGTTGTAATGATCAAGGCCCCCTTAAACCCTAAACCCCACACGATAAACGCCAGATTTTGGATTCGGGAGACCCGAACCTCCCTCCTGAAAGTACTGTTTGGGCTCTTCGTGCATGAACGTAACAAAGCCCGACGCCCAAGCCCTAAAAGCCATGAGCCCTAAATAAAACCGTAGACCCTATAACCCCAAACCCCTAAACCACTAAACCGTATAAACTATATAAGCCCTAAGCCCGAAAACCCTAAACCCTCGA